AAATTACTCTAATGCTTCTTTTAAATTCTTGTATTGTGATCAATATTTTTGTTGAATGATTCTAGAGGTTATTCAGGAAAATTGTGTGATATGATGTTCTTTCTCAGAGTTTTCGTTCGTCTTCTGCCAATCTTCCAATTGGTGTAGTGCGCCAGGTTGAGGCCAAGTATCCAGCTCTGCTTTTTAAGCAGCAGCTCACAGCGTATGTAGAAAAGATATATGGAATCATTAGAGACAACCTGAAGAAGGACTTGTCACCACTGATTTCTTGTTGTATTCAGGTATGAGAAGCTATGCTTTTCAATCACTGATTCTTTCCAGTGACTTATTTTGTTAACCTTCAAAATTCTGTTAGTTGCTGTGTACAGGAGAAAGCATTTTGGTCTTTTCTGAGGCTTATTTTTTAAACCATCTCCCCACCTTCTGTAATGCGTAACGCTATAAGTTTGCTGTGTTGCCTCATTTGAACTTGCAGAAAGAGTGATTTGTTGTATGATCAACTGAAAGCTATTGTTGTGTGTTAATATCAACATTGCATGCTATGATCTTAGTTAATTTCATCTTAGGCTCACATTTTTTTAGAAATTGTTTTAGCCCAATTTCTTGTTTCTACACACTTAAATTATTCTTGTGAACATCATATTCTACTATTGTTGATTGCTTTAAACATGTGTAACTGACACAAGCTCCTCTCTCTCCACTTCCTCGCAATTTACTTCCTGCTGCCTGCTTGGATTGAAATTCTGAAAGTGAATGATTTATTGTTTGATCGACAGAAAGTTAATTCATTATTAATTTTATAAATATTTGACATTTCTACTTGTTAAGCTTATTTTCTCATTTTCTACATATTTAAGTTATATCTGAGGATATCATGTGCTGATCTATTATGGCTAATTGTGCCATATAAGTAGTTTGAATTGCTATCTAAGTTGTATGGATTTATGTGTTGTGCAGCAGTTTAGGATTATTCTTACATGAGCTTCAGTGGACTGTTGTTTTTTATAAAAGTTGTGTTAATAGACTGTGGCAAAATGCCCTTAATTAATTTCCTATTCTTACTTATATGCATGGAAGCAATTACTTCTATTTTGGATTGCCATTTCTTTATCTTGCTAATGCATTACCCTACAAGTCAGGTGCCTAGGACATCCAAGGGAACTGCTTTTAAAACATCTGAAGAGTCACAAGGCGATCCTGCTAATCACTGGCACAGCATTATTGAGTGCTTGGACAGGCTGCTCTGCACATTAAAAGAAAATTTTGTATGTAATTTGCACTTTTGATGATATTAAAGTGGAGTATTACCATCTTTTTGATGAATCATGAACTTATGATTATGATTTTTTTTTTGCAGGTGCCTCCAATACTTGTTCAGAAAATTTTCACTCAAATTTTTGCATATATTAATGTACAACTCTTCAATAGGTAAATCACTGTTTCACCTTTAGTTTCCTGTTACTGTAGATACGATTGTTAGAATAAATTACAAAATATGATGTTAATATATTCTGCTACAGCCTTCTTCTTCGTCGAGAGTGCTGCACATTTAGTAATGGAGAGTATGTGAAGTCTGGCTTAGCTGAATTGGAACTATGGTGTGCTCAAGTGAAAGAAGAGGTATTTTTTTTTTTATTCTGACTAATGACTGTTGAAGGTGGAATTTTCAAATTGTTTGAAGTTTGATGTTCCATGAACAAAACCTTTTCCTGTTTGCTTATTAGTTGTGGCACCTTACAGCATTTAAATTTCATATTAAGAGTTGATGGTTTTCTATGTTGATTTCTCTAATTGCAGTATGCAGGCCCATCATGGGATGAACTCAAACACACAAGGCAAGCTGTTGGATTTTTGGTAGGTTTCTTCAGTTTTTCGTTTTACGTTAGGTAACTTTTACTCTTGTGGTCTGATGAAGGTATAAATGTAATTCTGGTCCAATGTTTCTTTCTTCTTTTTTTCTTCTCTTTTGTGCCTGGTAATTAATCACCACAGGGTTATGAAATTGGTTGAGACTGTGCAAGCTTTGTACTACTTTTTTTTTTCTTCCTCGATAAGGTCATGCCACTTTGACTTCATACTATTTAGTTGCAATTGGCTTTAGAAGGTTTAAACCGGCCTCAATCTCTTTTGGATGTTAAAATAGAGGTTTAGGGGTGGCAAATTTTGGAATTATAAACAGATGATCAGTTCTTGGATTTCAAGGCTTGGCAAACTCGGGTTTGATATGAGCTTAGCTTGTATTTTGCATAAACAATACTAGACCTGTAGGTATCTTGTAAGTTTTCATGTATAATGTAAGATGGATAGCATGGCTCATAATCCACCAATCAAGAATATCCACTACACCTAAATAAAATTGGACCATTGGGCACTTACTATTGGACTTATGAAATGCCTGATAACTTTTGTCCCCTGTTGTTTAGAAGAGGCAACACTGGCAATGCTCTCTGGTAATTACATTTTAATTTAGTGAAAATATGGAATTAGCTGTCTGGTAATTACATTGTAATTTTAATGCTGTCCACAGTGTGTTTCCTCCCCTTCTTCACAATAATTGAGTTTGAAGTTTGAGATAAAGAGAGGAAATGTGGGTTGGGGTGGCTGTGTGTGTGGTGATGTTGCTAGTAAGATTTCTCAGTTATCTCTAGGACTCATTTTCTCAAGTTGGAAAAGAACTAATGAAAGATGTTGTGATGAGTTATATCCAACTACTTTAGCTGTTCAGCACAAAGAAATATAGGTTCCACGTAATCTTGTAGCAGATCCAGCACACACACAAGTTCTTTTAAAATTTTATAGTGGAACAAATAGAGCATCAATGGAAAATCTTGCTAATTTCTTAGCTGAGAACTGCTCCTCAAGTTATCCTTATCTGTTGGCATAAGATCGAATCTTCTGAAGTCTTTGAATTTTATGTTCAATTTGTTTGGATTGCATTGTCTGGGTGAAATCCATTATATCTATAATGGGGATTTAAAATCTTAAAATTTGCTATATTCATTGAGTTTGTGCAAAATTGTCTCTAACTTCTCGAGTCTTGATAGTTAACCTATAACCTTGCAATTCTTGGTTCTCTTTCTTTAAGAAATCTAATTTTGGTACCTAGCATTTCTTTTGCAAATATATTTGTTAATTTACTGTCAAATTCTGGTTTTATTTGGAGTATGAAAAGGAATGCAATGAAGTAACCACCATTCCTTGCTCTTGATTTGATGTTTTGGTTTCTTTCACTTCTCCAATCTGAGCAACTGGTCTTGTCTTGTCAGGTTATCCATCAAAAATCCAGAATATCCTATGATGAAATTACAAATGACCTCTGTACTGTAAGTCTCTTTTGCTTTCTGCACGCAGTTCTGCTGATGATGAGGCATGGTGCAAAATATGGTTCATAGAACATTCCATTTAATAAATTATTAAGAAAAGGTCATTTAAATAGCCAGTGTGACTTAATCATTCTTCTGAAGAAAAACTTACTAGTAATGGTGAAGAGAGGCATGGATTTGTGATATCTGATTAACATGCTCTTCAAGAAGGTGAAAATGATAAGGCAAGGGGGATAAATGCATTTTCTTTTCATCATGGAACCCATATATAATATGAAATTCTTCAGAATTTGAAAACTGTGTGATTCATATGATTGGGGAAGGGGCCCTTGAAATATCAATTAGGTTGTCTTGCCCATAATTGTCAATGTTACATAAAATGTAACCAAACTTATCACATATTGAGAATAAGCTTCTTTTTGCTATTTGGTAAATATATGTGTGTTTGTATTTATATATCTATATTGCTCTCAAACGGTTGGAAATATTTTTCTGCTTTTTCTTACATTATGTGTCATTCACCAGGTTTTGAGTGTTCAACAACTTTATAGGGTATGTACGCTTTATAGGGATGACAACTATAACACTCAAAGTGTTTCACCAGATGTAAGTCACATCAAATTGTAGACACATCTCTTTGTCCGAAAATTTTATTGAGAAATGTATTGTTTTTTCTCATTTAGTTAGTATGGTATGACACCTCTTCTTTTGTACAGGTCATTTCCAGCATGAAACTTCTTATGACAGGTGATTCCGAAGATGATGGTGGCAGCTCCTTCCTGTTGGATGACGATTCCAGGTAGGATAATAAAATGGAAAGATGGAAAAGGAGAATGAGAGTTTTAACTGTTTAGTTCCTTTTAATGTTGAAGGTCAATGGTTCAGAGTCCTAATTGATCATCCTCTCTGATTGTAGCATTCCTTTCTCAGTCGAGGACATTACTGTTTCCTTGCAAGTAAAAGAATTTGCAGATGTAAAACCCGCAGCAGAACTTATTGAGAATCCAGCCTTCCAATTTTTACAGGATTAAAGGCACCGGTTCCACCACCATTTTCTCTTTTTTGATGCACTGCAATTTTTTGTCGGGAGTCACAAGGAAAAAAAAAAAATTCAACTTCGTGTCAATGCCTCACTGTAAATCCAGCCCCATTATCTACAAATGTTACCCTTCATTGTAACATCCGTTGCCCCAAATGTAACATAATTCTTAGAGTTCTACCATTTTCATTAGGGTGTTTAGGTAATATTGGTTATTTCTCGTCAGCATTCTTTGTAGTGATGGTAGGAGGGGAAGAAAATGTTAATGTAGTCAATTCTGGTAGGAGCCGACCCAGAAAGGGAAAAGCTTGTTCAACATCCAAATTTTCATCTTGTACAAAGTAAAAAATAGCAAAAGTATTTATAGTTAAAAATGTTTCCACGTATTCATAGTATACACATTGTTGAAAATTGGAATAGAAAATGATTGATGTTTCTTTGTTACTTTTTTTGTTGAGAAATTTTATCTCCTACAGTCTTACTTCGCTTTGGTAGTGAAAGAAGAAAGCCTTGAAGGTTTAAAGCTACCAGGTAAAACTTAAATAACCGGTTATAATGGTAAATGAAATCCGTTCACCTTTTTAACTAAGGTCCAACAAGAACAATTTTTTTGTTTTACAAGTTCACATAAAAAGTTGTACTAATCAAGAGTGCAAAAAGTTTCTCTTTTTTTTTTAATCTATTTTTTACTCTCTTTAGGATTGATTTCATAAACTTTAAAGACCAATCTTGGTTTGAAAATATTACCCTCTGTTTTTTTTTTTTCCTGGAAGTGAAAGTGAGCTTTTGTTTTGTCTTTGTATTTATCAAGTCATTTTAAACAGTACTTGAAATAAAAAAAAATTGTAGTCTAATGATGGAATTGGAAAAGAAAAGGAAATCAAACCTTAAGCCTATGATAAATTTTTTCACGCATGGGATTTATAGAGAAATCTTCAAATACATTAAAATTATTCTTTTTTATTTTAAAGTAAAATAAAATTTATCTTTAAAATATATATATATATTTTTTTAATATAAATTAAGATTTAAGATTCGAATCTTTTCTATTTCTTTAAATTTCTTTATATGTTTGTACTTTAAAGAAAAAAAATTGCCAGATGTGATAGGATACAATTTAGTAAGTTAAATTGTCGTATCTATAGAGTTATTTTTTAGGGTCGCAAGGAAGAATGCCTGTAGGAGCTGAAGAATAGTCAAACACTCAGCAAATTCCATCTCTTATTTAAACAAAAATTAAAGTCGGTGATAATGAGTGTTTTCAACTAAGAGGCTATGGAGGGAGCAACGGTATACAAATGATTTTTTTTTTTTTTATGGGGTTATGTAAAGGTGAAGTAATTGAATCATGTAATAAATTCATGTATTTCCTTCTTTTAAGTGATTCCTTTGTTATTTTTCCGTCTTTGGATATGTTTTTTTTTGGTAGATTTTGTTGGGATTTGGAACAAGTTTACTTTGGATTAAAATTTTGAACAATATTGAAAATAAGATTCTATTTATGATTGCTGTTTTGCATGTAATTAAATAAACATAAGAAAAAAGAAAAAAAAAGAAAAAAAAAACAGGTGGACTATATATTGCTCCAAAGTGGATCGTATCATAAGGCCTGGTATTCTGAAATGGTCAAGCACATGCCATATGGTTTAGTATTCTGATTTCTGATGGAGAAGAGCTCTGAGTTTGACCATAGATTCTTCACCAATGGTCTCCCTCTTTCCGCCATTCATGTGATCTCACATGGCTTTCCCGTGTTTCACATCTGATTCTTCCCAATTGCCCAAATGTTTGACTCATTAAAATTATTAACATCCAAATCCCCATTTCAGTTATTTCAGTTATCAAGTCAGTTGCAATATCACATAATTAATATCACATACTTGTATTATTTTAGCAGGTGCATGTGTGCATCTTATTCTTTTGCTTTGGGGTTTGAATTTTTTGGTTCATGATTGATTGTACTTTTCTTAAGTCGTGGTGGTTTATTAGGGTTTTGACATTGAGAGGTGCATAGGCCTCTCCATTGATTTGGTGGACCAAATTGAATAGTATTTAATAATGCAATCCATTTCTGAATAATTAATCTTAGTTTCCAATACCATTTTGCTCATAATCCTTGAGGGACATTGAATCTCTCCTCTTCCTTTTTGATCTCCATGAATGAGTTCGATGGCCACTTTACATTGTTTGATTTTATATTTAAAAAATTATACAATTTTTATCACCGATCTCAATATATCAATTACAAATAATTAATTTTATTTTGATCCATGTAAAATTAAACTGCACAATAAAAAATAATCGTTTTTCAATTTTGTAAATCTTATCCCACTTGTAAAAATTTGAATCTGAACTTTGAAAAAAAAAATTAAATTTTAATTATTAGAGTGTCTTAATATAAATCATTTCTTTTTTATACTGGAAGTTCCTGCAGGGTTCATATAAATCATTAACTAAGAACATGCTACACGACTCTAACACCTCAACTTATTTATTTATTGATTTTGATATAACCAAGGCTTATATATATACCGTAGCACATGAACAAGAGATTAGCCTCTTTTTGTTTTTTTTTTCTTCCAATTTGAAAATAGAATGTAGTCATTCAGTACTAAAAAAAAAACTTAAGCAGTTTCGAACTGTTTATTTATTTATTTATTTTTTGAATAAGAAATTTGAAGCAAATGAAATAGTCAAATATATTATATGACAATTTGAGAAAGAATCATAGCAGTATACTTATAAGAACATCGAGATTAGAGATATGATGTTAGTTTTTGAGGAGGGTTTAGAACCCGTTCTTCACTCTTGTAAAAGAATAAAGGATACCCATTTCTTTAAAAAATTTTTTGGGCATCTTGAACTCTATTCTCTGCATTTGGAGCATACAAATTTAATTACTTCCTTTGTCATATAATTATTATCTCCTTAAACACGCAATTTAATGAAGATATTTTAGTATATATGTATATATACACATTAATTTTAGAAAATATATATTTGAGAGAAGTTGACATATTTTATATTAAAAACGAAATAACAAAACAACTTGCATATGAACGTTTCATCGATTTAATAGTAAATATATATACTTCGTATTAAAAAAAATTAAAATGTAAATATTTTTCTAAAAAAAAAAAACACATGAAAGGATACAATTTAGAAACGAAAATTTTTTCTTCATTTTTTTCTATAAAAATAAGTAAAGTGTTTAAAATTATTTACTTGAAATAAGTTGTCATAAGGTTTAGGTCAAATCATAGTTTTAGGTAAATGACTTATTTTCATTTGAGAACTCTAGAAAAATGATATAAATAATCTCATCAGTCTTGTCCTAAAAAAAAATTGATAATATATATATTTAATAAAAAATTTAATTGACTCATTTTGGAACATTCGAAAATAAGAAAGAAGAGTGCCTATGAATATGTAAATTTAATTCAATTTTGATATTGAGGGGTAAAACATAGTTAAGTTGTTGGATTCAAAGTCTTGCTGCTTTCATTATATCACTCAACTAATTATAATTTCAAAAATTTAAGCAGTAATGGAAATAATGAAATAATTGCCAAATAACAAGGCTGTGGGTGTTTTGTGGAGTATGTTCAGCTGCATAGAAATGTCAGGATATACTTTCAACATCAACTTTGAGATAACTAGATAAACCAGTGTGGTGCATAAGTATTCAGATATCAGAAAGCATCACATGAACATGATCATATATATTTAATAATAATTTTTCTTTTCTTTTCAATCTGATTCTCTATCTCTATATCTGAAGCCATATGGGGTAGGTAGCCAAATATGAAGATACAAACAAATAAAATATTGTGAAATGAAGAATGGGTAGCAGAGGATAGATTTTTGGTAATTTCTGCAAAGTTCAATTTCCTGTCATAAATATGATCACTCATTCATTGGTTTCATTCAAACTTTTGCAACCGACCTCATTAATTGAATCTTTTCATTGATATCTGTGTCTTCATTAATATGGGAATTAGATACATAAACAAGAAGAGAGACTTAGGCCACCGATAGCAATCATGGCTTTGATTCCACACTTTTTTAGGTAAATGGGCAGTACCTTAATTACTAATTAACAATTCCTTCCCCTGCTTTCTCTCTAATCTTCAACTCCAATATTCGGTAGCTAGTTCTAATTATTTCCTCCTTTGAAAATAGTTAAATGATTGTCTAATTGTTCTCTTAATTCATTGGTACCCAAAATGATTGATATGCTGGGAAACCACCCAAAATTTGACCAACTTCAAGATTATAGTCTTGGGTAGGTCTCAGGTGGCATCTTTTAGGCTTCATTATGCCCTCTTTTTAGTTCTGAATTTTAATATGTTTTCTGCTCATACAATCATTTAATTAATAAAACCACAAGAAAACCAATTTGTCATAATTTTTATTTAATTTAGTGAAAATTGTTTAATTGGATAATCTATCTACTCCTTAAAGAAAATAATTTTCGTCAACTTAAAAAATATGTCAGTACTTTGGATATGAAATATATATACTTATTGATTTATTCGAACGAAATAATATTTGAAATAAATAAGCGAAATTTCTTGTTTTTAAAGATATATTGAAATTTTAAAACCGAACTATGATATATACTGCCAAATCCCAGCCAAAACAAAACTTACAATGATATTTGAACAAAGATGTTGGATTTAAAAGTATAAATAGTTAATGTTTCTCATTAGTCAAACAAGGAATCACAAAGTCAAATGGGAGATAACATTGGGTTTGTGATATATATATATATATATATATATATATTATTTTTGAATAATTCCTATACTTTTAATAGAGGCTTTGTGGGAAGATGTATAGCTTCTTTTCTTTTTTTTGGTGAAATTTTTTATTCCATTGGTTCTCAACTCTTCATGTTTCCATGTGACCCTAATTTTATGATGAAGAAAACATTTGCAATCCTCACATTCACATGCCAAAAGAATAAGGTTTTCTCTTTCTTTCTCTCTCTCTCTGTGTCAGACACACACATAAAAACATTCGAGGGAGGCTGCAAAATGGCAATGAGTGTTGTTGAGACCATATGTTTATAAAATAATAATAATAATAAGGAAAGGGAGAAGACATAAAATTAAGATTCACAAACTTTATAGACCCTATAACCAAATCTCATGGGGCCATTCTTCTAATCATTTGAACCCAACATTATTTATATTCTAACTTGTTCAAACTCTACTTTTCAATTTGATATAAATAAATATATATAATATATTCCCTTCTTCTTTGACCAAGATCAAAGTAGGTGAACAATTACTAAGGCAGAAAATATATAACTCTTCCATTACTTCGGAAAGAAATTTAATTAAATTAGAAAAGAAAATAGTAGAATGATCTCTTATAAGATATATATATATATATATCTTAAGAATACTCATGCCACTCCCTAACCATAAGATACCTTT